AAAAACGGAACAAGTTAGGCGTTGGCAGCGTGTGTTAAGGGGATGTTGAACTCGTTTTGTACTGCCGACAGAATGCGATAATTTTTGTATCGCTCTAATTTTTTATTAATTTGACAAATTTGAAAATTCTTTTCCACAATTAAAGTTTATGCATTAATACTTGTTTAGCATATGAATTTCTAATCAGAAAAATCAGAAAAATTTTTTAAATTTAGATCTTTTTTTATCATTTGTTACTTTAAAATAACATCCAAAGTTCAAGTCATGTCAATATTTGCTTTATATAAAAATTTTACAGCATACAAAACTGACTATTGCTAGATTAGAAGATTACATGAAGAAACAACGTTGAGTTCTTAGAATTAAGCTAGATATCTAATATAATGTAAAAAAACAATACGACAATTTACTCATATGTGTATCATATGTGTACAAAAATGTATGTATGAATATACATAAATGCATCTGTGTATGTTTAGATGTGCATGTGTGAACGTTTTCGGAGTTCGCTCGTCAGTCCAAAATCCCCTTAAGCCATAAGTGTGATCTTGATAGCTATATTTCTATAAATAAAAAAAAATCACTATTTTGGATATAATATATAGCGGTGAAATATATTGTTACCTTGACTTTTTTATGTAACTAAAATATAAAGTATGTACTTACCTAGTATCAAAATGATTATTTGATAAAATGATTAAATCCTTTTCTTTCGATTTTTTTTGACAAAGTTATATATTTCAAATATTAAACACATCTTTTAGACATTAAAGAATGTTTTTCTGAACATAATAAATTTTTATGAACCATCAGAGAAAACATTTCTTTAAATACTAAATCAAATGTTTATCAAATCTTAAAAAACTATTTGTTTAAAAGTTAAAATAAAGTTAAAATAAAGTTAAAATAGATATTTTTTAATGGAAAATTTAATCCATTATTTTTAATATTTTTAAAAAATATCTTTTAAAGATTTTAATAACATTTAAGAAACATTTATTTGTTGATAGGATTATAAAATTTGTAATAAAATACAATTTGATATGTTTGTTATGTATAATGATATAACCTTTTTCTATGCAAAATTTATAACTTGTTATTTTTTAATCTTAATCAATACACAAATGTGGCAATCAGATTTGTCTTTAAAGGTCTACACAATTAATTTCATTTCAAAATCAGAATAAAAAAGATTTTTTTTAGATTAATATTATTACTACTAATATTATTATATAATAATAATAATAATATTAGTCAATAATTATTATATATATTGTTACTAATATTATTACTAAAATAAGATTTTGCTAATAAAGATATAAATAATGTAATAACTGCTTATACATGAATGAAGTAAGTTATATTATATATATATTTATATAAAACTATTAATGAAATAAATATGTAATTGGATTATCTTCAAGTCATCATAGATGCACATATACGCAATCTTTTTTTAAAATTTTCTTCTACATGTAAAAGAACTCTGAATGTAAATTAATGTATTTAGTCGTTAACAACTATTTTTATTTTTATCAATTCATATGTTAATTCATATGTTCACAGTTATGTTTAATCTATTTTATATAAAATTTCCATTTCTAATTCATTTAACTGAGCGCTATAACTTGGATATGGAAAAAGAAAAATTCTGATAATTATGTTGAAAAATTTCAACTTTATTATTGCTTAGGTTTCTGCAATTATTAAAAGTACATATTTGCAGCTTCTTAAAAATAGGAGAGAATAAAAAAAGGGGAAAAACGAGTTTTGATTAAGTATGCAGAGTCGGTATATTAATTCGGTAGCCAGTTCATGCAGCGCAAGCGTAAGCAACAGTGAAAGTGTGCGTCTTGGAGACGGATTTGTGAGAAAGATCTGGATTAGCGCCTTGCTCGATTCTACGTTTCAACTCCAGAGACTCCTCGTTCTTTGTTAAGCAGTGAACTTTGTATTCCTTTGTCTTCGTTTGTGTAGGTCTGGTACCCTCGGCACACGTTGACAAAGGTCTGGTAGTGAAACAGACCTCATTGCCCTCTTGAAATACTCTTGTGCGGAAGAGAATATTGTTGCTTCCTTCATTCATTTCCACTGATTTACTGCTTTCATTTTCTTGTGTTCTTCCTCTATTACTTTGCTTTTCTGTCGATGTTCTTCCTGCTTCTTTATCGTTGATAACATTGCTAGGCTGAGGATGCATCTCTGTGCAAACGGCTTCTTCGGCTTTTTGTTTATTCGTCATAGCGGGTCCTTGACAATCGTCTTCATTAGTCAAGGCGAATGTGGCCGCGAATTCTTCGGATTTCCTCAGGACGCAGTTCTTAGGAGTCATGAAATCATTATCGGATTGCATATCGTAGTTGCCGCAGAGACCGCGTACGGCATTGCGATATTTGTTGGATGCCTGTAATAAATTTATTTCAATTTATTTATCATTAAATTTTCTGTATTACTGTAATCAATTTAATTTTATCAGTTTGCTTCATATCTTTATTTACCTGTAATTGAATATGATTTCCATCATATAACGCTCTGAGTTTATACTTGTGCGAAAAAACTTCAATCGATTCGTCTGCTAGCTTGAGAATTTCCAAAGATTTCTTATGGGTTTCCTCTTGGACCTCTTTATACGGTGTATGCTCCGATAATTCGATCGGCCGCTCATCAATCAAGACTTCAACATGACCTTCTTTCTTGAGCAGCTTAATTTCTTGATTACCCAGGAGTAAAATAGTATTCAGGCTTTCTCTCGTTTCGTATGCTAAGACAGCCACTTTCTGTTCTTCCGGAATAGATGCTTGACCATCTTCGGAATCTAATTGTGGATTAGTGATCATCAGCACGTGTTTGCAATATCCCATTTTTACAGGATAGGCCACTTGATCGAAAGTAACGACCATGTTTCTGTCCACAGTACACATATCTGTGAAGAATAATTTGTTATTTTATGTTATTTTATGAAGGTTCTATAAGTAACTTAATACATAATATTATATTTTGTAAAATAATCTGTATTCATTGTGCATCTAAATATAATGTCTGGAGCGACAAAATCAATAATGAAGCAATAAATTATTTATTAGAAAATTAATATAACTATAGATCTACGTTAAATAGTTAAGTGATAATAAAGATCGAATCAACAGTTTTTATATTATTATTTAAACACTAATTTACTTTTTCTAATTAGCATGTTATGACATGTTATTAATAAAATAAATTTTGATATTTGGAAGAACTATTAACGCTTATTTTTTTCTACAAAATTTTGTAACTAACCGTTCGGTAGTTCTCCTGCTAAGGGGAATTCATTTCGCATCTTTCGTATTTCCGGGGTGCTTTCCGAGGGATGAGGATAAGTAACATCCATTTTCGGAGTATGTACAGAAATCTTCGGCATTACGTCGTTGGATGGTAAAATTATTTTTATTTCGAGGTGATCTATATCAGAGTTTTTCGGATGTGTTACGTCCGTGCGTGCTGTGGAAGGAATAAAATGATCCAGGACATATTCGATAACACGATCAATAATATTACGGACAACTGAAGGTGCGGTAATCGAAATGTCAAGCTGATCTTCTATATTGGCGAGCTCAACAGCCCTCTGGCAAGCCGGCATTTTTTGGTTGCCCTCTTCAATGCCTCGTTGGCACTCTTTGACTACATCGGTTTCTTTTATTATTTCTTTCAGTTCGTTACTTCGCTGCATCAGTCCGATGATTTCAACTTGATTTCCTTCCTGGCAGGTCTGTCCAAAGTACAAATTACCTTTGAAGTGACTCTGTGGCGTGGTCTCAAGAGCTCTCATGAGATTCAGAGTGTCCGATGACTGTTGTAGTTCTTGAAGGTAGCAAACTTCATAAGTGACCTCTTCTTTGCCTGGAGTTCGATTATTCCAATAAACGTAAGCCTTAGACATTCTTTCCGGATTGCTATTCACTAAGCCGATAGTGAGAACTTGTTGCCCATTCTCCAACATCGGAACGTTGCAACTTATGTCCAGTACATAGGCATTACCCGTTGTAAGGTCTCGGCTGAGGCTTCTCATAATCTGTTGTCTTCTATCCTCACTGTTTGGCTTGTTATCTACTGGCGATGAGGTTAGTGTCTCTACATTCAAATCTTGTTTGTTACCGGTGATTTCCAATTCATCATAAGCAATGTTGACATTTATCTCTTGACTGTCCCATTGTTGAGGAACTACCTTCATGTTCAACTTCATGTAATGATTTAGACTCATTTCTTCCCAAGGATTTAAGAGCTTCGGAAGCAAGTCCATTAGCTTTTCTTGTCTTACATCACCGTGTCCTTCGTCAACCTCAAGCTCGAGAGAAAGCAGACCTTTTTGTACTACGGTTTTGTCTTTTCTTGAAGACAATACATGATGCAAATTTTTATTAAAAGACAGGGGCCTAAGATCATCAATGTCCTGTCGTGTAGTGAAGGGTACGGTGCTATGGTGCCACAAACTAAGTTCAGAATCCTTTAGAGAATCCTTTGTAGAATCCTCCAGAGATTGTAATGTTTTCGGAATAATCGTGACTCCAATGTTTCGCTTATCGGTTTCGATTTCGTATTTTATTGGTATTTGCATGTGTCGATTTGTATCAATACCAACGACGAACGTCTTATGATTGAAAAGTGTTGCAAAACCGATGCGTCTCTGTACTTTATTGGCAATTAACGCATTAAGTAAGCCAGTTTTTCTCTTAGAGTCCGGTTTGTTGAACGAAGCATGAATTTTGACAAGAGTTGGTGAGTCTACAGTATAACTGAATGGTAAACCATTTTCAGTCGGCAAGCTTATTGTCGCTTCATAACTCCTTAAGTAAGTTACATCGATTTGCTGCTGTTTCTCCATGAATTCGTTCATAGCTGTAATACATAATAATTACATAAGTTACAGATCGTTAAAGTAAAATAATATTGAAAATAAAGTTCATAATACTCACTTTTAACAACATTATCAAGCGCCTCATCGTCGAAGGGATAGAACAAGAAACCAATTAATGAGTTAATGAAAATACTTCCTTCAAGCTTTTGCAGATGTGCGGGCTGCATCTTAAGTGTTTTGACAAGCTTATCAACGCGTGTTCTTCGCGAAGAACTTTGACTTGTTCCTTGGTTTTGCAAATGATTTAGTAACTGTTTTACGCTTGATACCGCATACTTTTCTTCCAAGCTGGGCTGGCTGTAGCGATCGAAAATGGTATTTAGAGCACAGTGTACAAAGGAGGGTAGATAACTATCCTCGCTAACAACGGTTTGCATAGAAAATCCGTTAATAATCCAGCTATTTATATATCTATAGTAGCCCATCGAGTTCCACGTAGTAGCAATCTTGGGATTTATTTGCCTGAGGGCAATGCGCACTTTCCTAGCAAGCTTCTCCCATCCCGGTCGCTTTGTGTTAGCGAGGCTCTCCAGCGTTGTCTTCACGACCGAATTGACATGTTCGTTTGTCTCGTAATTCGTGAATTTCGCTACGCGCTGCAACATGAGCATAGGTGGGTCGCTCTTGATGAAATTATGCACCGCTATGCAACGTAGCTCGTGAGCCTCACGTGTGTTCATGTAGATCTTGTAGAGAATGGGCCCAACTAATTTCGGTTGCGTTTGAATTAACGTGGTCAAGGAAGATACCATGAGCATACGTTGGAATTTCGATGCCGGCTGGGTGCCTTCTAAGTACGGCTCGAGGACTGAGATAATTTTCGGATGACTGGTAACGCCAAGTGCTACGATGTAACTTTGAATTCTGGGACTGTCGCTTCTAGAAATGGCGTGTTTCAGTTGATTGGCCATGTAAGGAATATAAATTTCTTCCACGTCTTTGTTATCCTCGGAAATCAAAGGACCGAAAGTCCGTTTTGGATAATGGCCACCGTTAACGTTACGAAGAAGTTCGGCGAATGCTACGATCGCGGACGAGCTGACATGTTTTTGTTGCGCTACCACTGGATGTTTGATCAGTTCCTACACAGAGATCGCACGTAGATTATAATTAATTGTAATTATAATTAATTGTGTGTAATTTTAATTCCTAGCATAATTAATATTTTGTTCGGATGGAAAAAAATCTAGAAATTGCATAACTCTTTATTGTACGTAAAAGGAACTACTTACGAAGACTGTTTTGATGTATTCCGCCGTGGGTGTGCGAACGTGTTTGGGAATTTGGGCAAGAACTTGCGCTGCCTCTAAGTTTTCAATCTTCTTGTTCTTTATCCAATCTGTGATGGTCAATAGAGCGGGTCCGGTTCCGGCGTGTGCGACGGCATCGCGGTAGATGTTCCAAGTGTCACTGTGCTTGTTGGACAGTTTCTTATGCGGTATGCGGTTGTTTAGCTCACTATACTGCTTGTAACTCATGGTGCGAAGGATATTTTTCAAGATTGTGAATTTCTCCAGCGTTTGATTATCCTGAATTCGTTCGGGCTGTTGTATTTCATTGGATATTTCCATAATTATTTTCATGACAGATTCCATGTTGACTTCTTCGGAAGTTTGGACGTTATTGCCTCCGAAGCCGACGAAAAAGGGTAACAGCGGAATATTGGGAGGCAGGCGTAAGTCCGTTAGAGGTTGTAAAATAGTATCATCTATATCCTTCTCGTTACTCTGGCTGGAAGAACTGCTTTCACTGCTAGAGCTTTGAGAAGAGATAACCTTTTGTATTCGTCTATGTCGCTTGTCGACGAATGGTCTTCGATTTCCGAAATCATAGAACGGACTGTTAAACGTGTATACTAAATTTCCAGTTGACATGAGATTATCTGACAAGCGCAATTCCGTGGTGATCGGAGATTTTTTGGCTAAAGTTAGTTTCATTATGCAGTGCACAGTGCCAAGTACACCTTCAGTTCTTCGAGGTTTAACATATATTTGGTTTCTCGTCACGGATGATTGAATGGTATATTCTCTCAGATGGCCGGAAATAACTACTTCACTCGAGGATAATTCCTGTAACAATCATATAATTGCAGATCAATTTTGCCAAGAAATTTTATCGTTCTTCCGCCCATTGTTTGCAGTAGTTTGGAACGTAATTGAATATAGAAAAATATCGACATCTTATATAAATCAATTTTTTTCCAAAAAATTCTTTTTTAATAATCTTTAACTATTGCGTATATTATTTTTTAACTAGAATATCAGAACAATTTGTCAATTAAAATTAAACTCACCGAAACAACATCGTCCTGTCTATCCAATTGCGACACCTTTGTTGGATCGTTTAAGCCATAAATATAAACTTGTCGTTGTTGACATTTCTTGTAATTCTTCGTTTTCTTGACTTCATAAAAATGGCCATCATCACCGCGTTCTTCCGGCATAGGTACTTTGTCTGGCCTCATCAAACCAATATTATCGGGCAATGGGGAGACATCATAGAGAACCTCGCATTTGCCACCGACGGAGTCTTCCATAACTTTAAATGTACCAAAAGGCTGGGACTCATCAGGTATTTGAGTGCCCTTGCTGTCTATTAGATTTTCGCCCTTTGTGTCAACCTGCAACTGGCTGATTATAGCCTTAATCATGTTCACCTCCCAAATAGGCACATCATTATCCATCAACACATTTTGGATTAATCCATGCTTGAGCTTTATCTCGAATGGCTTTCCGGACATAGGAAGATCGCGATACTGCAACACTTCGTCTCGGATCTCGGATTCTGGACCGTTTCGCAGCGGTGCGTGTAAATTAGCATACTGCGGGTTCTCAAGTCTCGCTCGCAACGTGTTTGTCGATGGTGCTTGAACAACGAGGGTACCTCTTACTTGAAGTCCAGTGTATTGTCCTTTAATTTGGCCAATGGCTGCCACTGTCCGACTGTATACAAGATATCGGTACTCGGTTTGCGAATTCCAAGCACAGTCGTGATCGGGTTTGGCCGCGGCCACGCCGGCTACCAAACAAAAAAGTCGTATAACTAAGTTGTAACAATTGAAATTTTTTTATTAAAAATTAAAATAAAATTCTTGTTATATTCTTGTCTCAAAGAATTTAATTTATTTTTACATAGAAATTAATTAAGTGATATACATATACATATAAGAAATGTAAATCAAATTTTATAATAATAATTTTATGTCATAGGAAAACTTTGATTTTAAATTTCATTGAAGTTTGAGATATTCTATTTGAAATTTTGGTAGAAAATGTTACTATTCGCAAAGTCTACTTACCAAGTATCAAAAGGGTGAAAGGCAACCACATGGTGTTGTATGTGGCGTACCAATACTAAATGCGAAATGAAAGCTTCGTCCCCTTGATTGAATTTATATACAGGAGTATGCTAACTCAGCTTGACCTGCCATTGATGGCCACAGATTCAGTATATTCACATGAACTTGAAACCATATCATTCACGAACGCGTGACAAACTTTTTTAACCTTCCACGCAATAGATTACTTGTGACATCCGCAGCATATTTAAGAAATTGAAGATGAGGTCGTGCCATCGGACTTCCGGATAGAACTTTGACTTCGTTTGAAGATATTATTAACTTTGCCAATCGATCAAAACACATCAATGTCCATTAGTTCAATCAGTTGTTTTTTAATTTCTGTACTAAAATTTATATCAAAATATATGCCACATAATTAAAAATTAAACGGAAAATATATTGCGATTACAAAACTTTGTGTGACTTATGCAAAAGTTTAAATTATTTATTAAAAATTAAAAAA